TATATCAGGTGACCAAAACAGGTAACTAAAATAGGTAACCAAAGTATATGAAGTCATATAGCCAAAACAGGTAACCAAAACATGTGACCAAGTCATGTGATTATATCAGGTAATCTTTTGGTTTTGATCACATGGTAGACTATACCATAATAAATTATAAAGGCTGGTTGAAAATTGCGGCCAGCGGGAGACTTACCTAAAGTAGTATGGTGGGCAACGTGACGGTAGCAATTTTCGCGTGTCGGTAGCATTTCTCTTTTTTTCTTAGTATTTACTATTAAGAATATTAAAGATATTATATTAATTATTTTTATATTCCTTTTTAATATCTTCCTATTTTAGTATAATTAGTATAATTAGTTAATCTAGTTCCTTTTCTAGTTTAGGGTTATAATAATCCTAAATATTATATATTTAAGTAATAGCCTAAATAGTTATAAGCTATAGTATCTAATTAGATAAATCCTTTAAAATTATATAAGAAGGGATTATAGAAAGAGGATAATAGTCTACTATAATATCTAAATTATAGTCTTAAATAAATTCTAATTATAATTAGTTATTATTATTTTTAAGGTTAAGTCTTATTTTTAGGGATATCCTAGGGTATAGCTAGGTATCTTAATATTAACTAAATAGTATATTTAAAATAGGATAAAAAGTTTAAAAATTTATAAGAGTTAAATTTAAAGCGATTCTAGGCTTATAACTAATAGAAAAACGGTGGTAAGGTAAATGTATATATAGTAGAAAAATCTCAATCAATTCTCTAACTCTTTAAAAATAATAATAGTCCAGAAAATATAACAATCTAATAGATAACTTAGTAATCAAATAAATAAAACAAAATGAAAGGATGTTTTTCGGGCAGAAAACCAGCCTAGTCAGTCACATGACCCAACTGTATCAGGGATGAAAAATGACAGTATTCATCCTAGATTCTGATAGAAACTAATAGCTACTTCTCTAAAGAAACAGTATATAAGGATAATATATAGGTTATAGGTTATATAATTAAAGGAGGCTATATAGGTAGTATATACAGCTCCTACCTAGTCCCTAGTCCCCTACGTACCTTAATAGATATAATACCTCAGGTATCAGCCTTCTTAGTACTAGGGTCCTAACAATAGGCCGGGCTGGGTCAGGTTAAAACAGGCTTTAGAGAAGTCTAGTTATAAGCGAGTAGGCATATGAAAGAGGAAGCGAAAAACATATAGAAAGTAAGAAGTATATGAAGAAGAGAGAAAATCAGGATATAGAGCGAAAACGCGATATATACCCGTTATAGACGAATTCCCACTGGCTCGTTTTGTAGGGCGGTATATACTATATATGAAGGCGGTATACAGGTAGGGCTTTAGGGGGTGTTGAAACTTATGAACAGTCACTGTACGGTTTGGATTTAACGGATATATGGAGATCTCGAAACCTAAGTATTATTTATACGAGTGATCTCGCCGGCTTACGGCCATCGAGATAGTCGTTGCCGAGCAAAGCGACTGATTCTAACTTCTAATGCTGCGCAAAGCCCCCCTCTTACTGGCTTATTGGTTTCACAGCGACCCCTCGGCTAGAGCAACTCCCCTGCTTTTATCATAATTCTAGGAGAAAACCTGGCCACGTGAAATGTACGTAAGACCTTCTGATTTATACTTGCTTCGCTTCAGGAGCATCCCGGAGAATTGAACAACGGTAGGCGGGCCGTTCAGTGTACGAATAGGGAATGGACGCGTTCATAGAGAGGCTGCCCCGTGTGGCTGATAAATGATAATGCAAGTTACAAGAGCGGCTCTGCGATCGCGTGTCGGTGTATGATGACATCACTCTATTTATGGATAACGAAACAGTTTAGGCGCCTAGCGCAGGCAGCCATTCAACTACAACATATGACTCAACTTTAGACCTCGGGAAAGAACATAGATGAGTCAGATCCAAGTTACCCTATAAATGGAAGTACTCAAGAAAGGAAGTTATACTTTATGAAAAGCGAGCGCAAAAGCAAGAACAGTATAGCATGTAAGAGGCAAGAGGGCAAGAAGGCAAGAAAGCAAGAAATCAAAGATAAGGATCTACACCAATAGATCACATGGTACAGGGGGGGTCAACGCTCGAAAATGATTGGCTGACCCCTCCTGCGGCTGATCCTATTAGGTGATTGCCCGCATGGGATGTTGTCACATGTGACCGGACTTAGGCAGGAAAATCAGGTCACATTAAATCCGAAAGTTACCGTAACCTTACACAGGCTACTAGTAGAGATTGGGCATATCTACAAAACCATGCTGGTAAATAGATATCAACATCGAGTACCGGAGACCAACCAAAAATACCATGGTATGGTATCACCCGAGTACCCAAATGATGAGATCAGCTGGTCCTTGCCAAATGACGCCCAAGCACAATCTTTCCCCTCCCTCAGATCCCCTTTTGCGCTCTGATGCCCTCCCAACTAAACCATTTTACAGTGAGTCCATTGGTCTCATGAGTCCCTCCCCTGGAGAAACTCGGAATCTCCGTTAAGCGCCACCCCGCAGTTTATCATCACACCCTCAGCCCCATCCCAACTGACTCACAGTTCGCTTTCAATATTCCCTTCAACCTGCCCTCCCTTTTCTTCTTCCTTTCCCCCTTACCCTTCTCATTTTCCATTTGGTCCATTCTCGCTCGATGGACTATTACCCTATTCATCAAATTGACTCATTCGGCCATTGGAGCCTTAACCCCGAGACTTAGGTCATATTGGCTTATCGCCACCTGAGAGAGACAAAGAGGCAGACCCTGACAAATCACCTGTTTTGCCTGGTGATTCAACTTCCATTGAGTTCCATAAACACTCGCTCATCAGCTTTCGCCATCCATCTTCTCACTCTGCCTGGTGTATTCATCCCCTCCCCTCCTCTTTCCAGAAAACCTAGCCCTGGACACCATTGACACACCATTGACTACTTTAACCTCTTATTACCAATTACCGTTGGCTCAACGGTATTTAATCTGGAATGACTTCGTCCGCTGGCTGGAAACCAGCCGACCAGCCGACCACTATGCATCGTCTCCCATCCGTTTCTAGCCTTATGTCACCCCCAGAGACCAAGCCTCTCGAGAGCTTTCCTGTCTCGCTTTCACCGTTTGCAAAGCCTCGAGATTCTTCAACTCGTGACATACAGCTTCCACCCATCTCAGATGATCGAAAACGGACCCAGTCAGAGATGGACCTCCCGTCGCCACCTGTGACTCCGTACACCGGGAACAAGAAGAGCAATCCCAACGCCTCGGACCAGATTGAAAGGGATTTGGGATCCCCCAGGGACCCTGTCCTTTTCCCCCCTCAGGATTCCGGTACTGACGTTGCTACGGATGAGCCACTGTTCGGCCCCGTTCACCCTCCATCTGCAGAGGCACTTGTGGAAGAGCACATGAATTCTCATATGGCAATCTTTCGCAATAAGTTGAACAAACCCACACGGGATGAATATCTCCTTGCGCTTTCCTGTGTCCCTATTGTTTCGACTCAGTACAATCGCAACCCGGGTGTTTGGGCCCGAGAGGAACGCGAGACGTTGGAGCGCCAAATGGCCATGATGAACCGTTATCGATCAGGAGATTACGAGCCCAAGTTGAAGAAGATTGCTCCTGCTCCGGTGAAAAGACTAGGAACCCAACCGCGCGTGCAGCGAACTCGGGTCAAACGCACCCCTAAATCCACACCCAAGCAGCAGGTGTTTGATAACTTTGAACCCCCCCAAACCCCGCTTACCAAACCGCGTACCTTGGGTACGAATCGCGATGACACCGATTATCACTCACTCAAGGACTACTCGCCCCCGGCAGAGACGCTAGGCAGTAATGCCAAAGCATTGAAGGCTGATTGGAAGGGGCAGATGTTAGATTTGAGCAATGACCCGGACAGAAATATTCTCAGTCCCGCCGAGCTCAATCTCGCATCTACCCTGAGACTTTCATGTGCGACCTATCTATGCAGCAAACGTCGAATTTTTGAAGCTCGAGTTCGAGCTCTCGGTGTGGGCAAAGAGTTCCGTAAGACGGATGCCCAGCAGGCTTGCAAGATCGATGTCAATAAAGCCAGCAAACTTTGGACCGCCTACGAACGCGTGGGTTGGTTTAGAGCTGAATATTTTCATAAATACCTAGCATGATATTGCAGGTTACGTGTCTTGATGGTACTGTGGATAATTCTGCCAGTTCATCACAGCCCGTGTGTCGCCTCCCATCACAGGCTAGGCACTAACTGACCTTCTACCTCAAGTGTCTATCACTGGCAGTACAGCCCTCGACTATTAATCCATATTTGAGTGCTCTCGGCTATCTACACCTGACCAAGACAAACACCCAAGTGTTCCCTAGAATCAACCCACCTTATCTCTTGGCCTGTCGATTTCCTTTTCAATTGCTATCTCGCTTTTACGACTCATCATGACACATTCTTTTCTTTTGAGATTCCCCCCTTGTTGGTTTTCTTTTCGTTTTGCATACAGGCCCCATGGCTTTGATTATTTCCAACTTTGGCTGCTGGCGTTTGGGTGCTTCACTTCAGTTTCGCTTTGGTCTAGAATGGCAGGCTTGGTTACCCACGGGTGTTTTCTTTTCACTATTGCGATTGAATTTTACTGCTTGGTCGTTTCCTTTTCTTTCTTCCTTTTTCCTCGTCTTTGTTTTGGAAAGGCAGCAATAGCACATAGGATAAGGCTTGATACCCTGACCGGATATGGTTTTCCTATATTACAATGAATTGATATGAAATTGAGCTTAAGATACAATTCACAAAAAAGATACATACTAGTTAATATATCTATCATCTGTAGTTGACATGCCCAATTGATATGTTTCTAATTTAAACCGAAATAAAGCGGTGGGGCGCAATCGTAATCCTCCGGCAGCCCGGCGCCACCTTTTTTTTGACGTATCCCTTGTATCATCTTTTGCTTCACTCCAATCTGGATCATCAATTTCCCTCTTTGAAATAACCTTAGTCAAAAGTAATGTCTCAGCAAGTGACTCGTTCTGGGTCCATCGAGGAACAGGAACGCGCAAGGGAGGAGGGCGACAAGAAGCCAAAGTCTCGCCGACCAGCCAGTAGGTCCTGGGATCTCATCAACCCTCTGTCCACAACTAACTGTACCAGATACTGCTTTCCGCCAGCAAAGATTGAAAGCGTGGCAGTGAGCTTGAGATTTCCGTATATCTGCCTATGGAGCACCATGCTAACATCTCACTAGGCCAATCTTAACCCCTAAAAGCGTTCTACCTCTGTTTTTCATCGTTGGCATTATCTTTGCCCCGATTGGCGGTGTTCTTCTCTGGGCAAGCTCTCTAGTATGCTTCGTTTTATACCTTTGCGTCCTTGGCAGAACAGCTCTGACGAGCTACGTGCTCTAGGTCCAAGAAATTTCCATCGATTACTCCGAGTGCTCCAGCAAAGCACCGACCGACAGCTATGCCTCCGTTCCTCATTATTCCGCGACCTTCAAATCTTCTACAGCAATATCGGCACCCACCTGGCGAAAGTCCATCAATGAGTCTTCGGGCACCGTTACTTGCACTCTTCTTTTTGAGATCCCGAACGAGCTTCCAGCACCAGTTTTCATGTATTACCGCCTCACTAACTTCTATCAAAACCACCGCCGATATGTTCAGTCGCTCGATTTGAATCAGCTTATCGGAGATGCTGTCTCCTACAATACGGTCAAGGGTGGCGTATGTGACCCATTAGCGGTCAACACCACGGCTCAGAAGGTATACTATCCATGTGGACTGATTGCGAACTCATTCTTCAACGACACTATTGGGAAGCCCCAAATCCTAAACCCGAATGCACCTGAGAATGATAAACAATTCTATGAAATGACCACTAAGGGCATTGCGTGGGCGAGTGATAAGGAACTCATCAAACCGACAAAGTACAGTATGGATGATGTACTGCCACCACCAAATTGGCTTTGGGCCAGCGAGAACGGTGTCTATAAAGAGGATCCCAACTTACATGAAAATGAAGCTTTCATGGTTTGGATGAGGACCGCTGGCTTGCCATCGTTCAGCAAGCTTTCCCGCCGTAACGATACCCATGGCATGCCTGCTGCAAGATATTCCATTGACATTGTTGATCGTATGTGTTAATACTGCCGCTTACCCATATCTTACTAAAATTTTCAGGTTTCAATGTCACCGAATACGATGGAACCAAGTCGATCTTGATCTCCACTCGAACAGTGCTTGGGGGCAAGAACCCCTTCATGGGAATCGCCTATGTGGTTGTTGGTGGAATCTGCGTTGTTCTCGGGGCTTTGTTTACTCTCGCACATTTGGTGCGTCCGAGGTATGATCTCCTTTCTTTGTGGGCAGAAACTCCAAACTCCTAACCTACTTACTAGAAAACTTGGCGACCACACCTATCTTACTTGGGACTCAAATCAGCCGAGCACTGCTATCGCCACGGGACGGGATAATGCCCCTTGAACCCCATCTTCCTGCTCTTTGTTCGGCGTTTTTTTTTTTTTTTTTTCTGTTTCTGTTTCAATATGCCCTGTAAATAACCCCTGTGTTTAATGACCTCATCCTCAACTTTCTGACATACCAATCGTTTCATTTTCTTGAATCCTACGTGCTCCTAGCCCTTGCTCAAGACATGCATTCCTCGCGAGACACAGCATTCCTGATGGGATCTGGCAGGCTATATGGTACCCGCGAACCGGTCGGTCTTGAGATTGATGGTTCTTTTTTTGACTCTTTATCCACTCCTTCTGTTTTTCTCTTTTGGAACAGGTGTAAAAGGGGAGTTCAAAACCAGGGTTTCTTAACATCATGGTGTGTCACTCATTTTTCCAACTCGTCATCTTCATCACCGTTTTCCTGCAGGCTTGGTGTAGCCCCTTTGCACTCCAGAAAAGAGGCGCCTGTGCTACCGAAGACCCCGGTGCAAATTTCTTGCATGAAGTAAGGCGCCTCCAATCGGATGAAGCCGATCTTGCTATTTCGCAGGCCAGGAAGGCCCCGATCGAGATCGAGACCTGGTTCCATATCATCAGCAGCAAGTCGGAGTCCACCCAGGTCACTGATAATATGATCAATTCTCAAGTCAGTTGCTTCTTTTCTCGACTGGCATCTCAGTGCTAATTATTTACCTACAGTTTTCTATTCTACAACAATCTTATGCAGATTCTGGCATCTCCTACCGATTGCAAGGTGTGACTCGTAATGTCAATGATAAGTGGGCGAGCAATGCGGATGATACGGCCATGAAAACGACTCTCCGAAAGGGAAGCTACCGAACATTGAACGTTTACTTCCAAACCGATCTGCAGGCCTCACCCGAACAAGCGGGACGTGCTTTCGGGCACAGGGGTGCAGTCACCAACAATGATCTGGCATCAAGCGTTCTTGGATTCTGCACTTTGCCCGATCCGAGTGTCAATGCTAGTAGCCCGGCTTCTCAATATATCAAGGATGGCTGCAATGTTTTGGCCAAAACAATGCCTGGTGGCTCCTTGGATCTGTACAATCGAGGCGGGACTGCCATCCACGAGATTGGACACTGGAATGGCCTTTTGCACACCTTCCAGGGGGAATCTTGCTCAGTAGATAATCCTGGTGACCACATAAGTGACACGCCACAGCAGTCCACCCCGACAGATGGGTGCCCTGACCAGAAGGATTCTTGTCCAGACTCCCCTGGATTGGACGCGGTCCACGACTTCATGGATTATTCATCCGATGTATGTTATGAGCGCTTCACGCCCGGACAAGGAGAGCGCATGCGGAGTATGTGGATATCCATGCGTGAAGGTAAATAGCGCAACAGTGACGGGCAATAAGGCCAATACAAGCTCTGTATGGAGTCCATTCGCAGCCATACATGTACACGCAGAAGCCAGCCGGCCAGGCTAGTTGGTTACGATTCAGAGAAATAATACCTGTCTAATGAGCTGTTGGACGAATTTCATGTATGAATATTTGGCTACAGTACAGTTGAGAGGCGTTAAGAGACTAGTTTCCTCCCAATTAACACCATAAATGTGTCTTATTCTGATCCCATCCACCGTGGGCCCGAGTCAAATCGTACAAGTATTCGAAAGGCAATCAAGAGATGCAAGGCATTCGTAGCCCAACTTGGCTTGCCCATAGATTGGAACATGGAGTACAAGAAAGGGAGGGAAGAAAAAGTCATTTTGATGCCCCAGCGGCAAAAAAATGGTCGATTACCGCTTGCGCTTGATCCCGCGGTCATTGTCTTCATGGTCGGCCTCCTTGTCTTTACGTTTCGCCTTTTCCTCAAGGGCGTCCCAGTCCTCACCACTTTCCTCGTCGCCACTGAAGTCTTCTTCGCTGGCATCGGCACTCGCGTCGTCATCAAATTCGCTGTCTTCCTCAGAACTCTCGTCCCCAGCTGCAAGCTCTGAATCTGACAACTCGAAAGCCGACTCCTCTTCCTCGTCTGACCCGTTCTCAGAGTCTGATTCGGCCGATAAGAAAGACCATCCACCATCGGCAAAGAAGCCGTATGGATCGCTGACAACTGTTTTCATAATCGTGGTCCAATTCAGGTTGAGCGGACCCTCGGTGAACGCAATATCAACAGAATCAAGCCAGTCCTTAACACCCTCAAGTGCCTCAACAGGAATCGTGTTGATATGAACGGGAGTCCGGCGGAAATCCTTAAAGACGAAGACCATGTCGAAGTTTTTGAGTCCAAACTGCACAGATTAGTAAACCAGGCTGATGAAATAGTAGAAGTGGTAATCATTACCTGAACTCTCTCCAGATGGGCTATTTCGATTTCATTCAATGTGACGGTCGTGAAAGGAGGTTCAGTGAGCTGAACTAGGGCATCTGTGGTGGGTTGAATCAAGACATTAGACCGGTTTGGAACGCCGGTAAAGCCAATTTCCCTGAATGGGATATCGACATCGACGCCCTCGTCCTTGCCAGCGTCCGCAACCTTCTCGGCAAATGCCTTGAACTCGCGGTCCAATGCAGCTCTCCGCCGTCTTTCCTCCTGTTCAGCCTCAAATTCTTCCTCATCTCCGTAGCGATGTTTGCGCCGACGGTTTCCAGTTTCATCAAATTGCATTTCCGTGGCCTCGCGATAGAATTGAATATCCTTTGTCTTCCGCTTTCCAATCATGATGGGCGTCTTGAGATGCACATGGATAAGAACGATCAATTCATGGGCACATGGTTGGAAGAACAGATGCTTCACATTGCTGAAGAGCACATCGACATGCTCATTGCGGAAAGGCGATAGGTACCGGAGACCATTCTGATGAATTTCGACTTCTCCCGGAACACGCTTCCCATCCAAAGGAGGCCGGAGATAGACGTCAGGGAGTTTCACTGGACGTCGGTTTCTAATTTCAACCAGTTTATCCTGCTCAACAACATCCTCCAATTCCTTCTTCTCCTGCTCTCGTCTCAGGGCCGTCTTGCGAAGTTCGGTGATATCCTGGGCAACTCGTGCAAGCCGGTCGTTATCCTTGGATCGGAGGGTGAGATTGCGAACAAAATGAGCTGATAGGTCCTCAAAGGGCTGGTCATCCTTTCGGCCCACACCCTGACCTGGAGACAGGAAGTTGATTCGTAGGTAGGCGTATTCCCCTTCGTCGCTTTTGCTGGCGTTCTTTATGGTGTTGATATGGAAGGGAACTGGTCGGCCCATGATAGGCACAATCACGGTTGAAGTCTTCAGGTCGACGTAAACTGTAAGGTCTTTGACCTTGGCGGGGAGTTGGTTGTCTCGCTTGTAAGACTCAAAGCGCTTGAATTTCTTCTGTGCCACCCCATTATCGTCTCCCGTAGTACCGGTGAACCGATCCAAACCTTCCTTTGTCTTCTTCAAAGCCAGCTCTTTTTGGTGTTCACGACGACGGGCTTCAGCTCCCTCATTGACCTGAGTTGGTCTTTCAGCACGAAGTTTGGTTCTTGTGACGTTTCTGCCAGCAGTTGCGCTAGATTTCGTCTCCTTTTTCTCTTTAACAGGCTTCTCTGGCTCTTCCTCATCCCCGAAGTAGAATGAGATCGAGTCCATGTCAATACCGGCGTCTTTGGTAAAAATATGAGGCCCATTTTCGCCGACACGAACCGTATCGGTGATGACCATGGAATATGCACCATTCTTGGCATTCTTGGAGTCTGGATCCTTAACATCAGTAAGCCCGATCGTGATAGACAGTGTCATGCCGTTCTTCAAGACGCGGTTGTTCTTGGCATTGAGGACCATATTAGCATCCCGCAGCTCGATTCCAATCCCTGCGCCAACGTTCTTAACAAAGTGTCCCTCCAGCTCCGGCTTCTTAGACCGGACGAGACTCAGTGCTTTGTTGTAAACGTCCTTGGCGACCACACCATCTCGAACCTCTTTCATGGTTGCTTCATGGAGGCTAAGCAGTAGGGCATAGTTCGCTTCTTGTGATTTTGTTGGGTCAACCAGATATGTGCGCCCAATAAGCGAACTGTAGGTCTTGTATCTGATTCCAAAGCTGGACAAAATGATACCGGGCTCGAGGTTTTTATTGTCGGGAGTCGCTGTGAGCTTGAGATCGTAGGCACCTCCACTTTGAATTACAGGTCCGTAGGCCCAGTCAATTTGCTGGGAATCGAATTCCGAGGGCAGCCGCGCCAGCTTGTTGAAAAATTTCCCATCATCAATCTTTGCATCAACCTTTGCGGCGAGGGCTTCATGTGTCATCTTCTTTTCCTCGTCGAGCAAACGTGACATCTCATCGACGAAGTACTCTGACATAAGGCCACTACAAGCTCTGGAAGCATTGCGGATTGAGACCTTTTTTGAGACTGTGTCAGCAAGCACCACCCGTGAAACGCACTGACATAGAAAAACTAACCAATTCATCAGAATCTTTGATCGCAAAAGCAGCTGAGAGTGCAGGTGCTATGTCAACTTCCTCCACCTCTTTCGATATTTCTGCGAATGTGCGCTTCCATTCATCTGCGAAGGGTCCTGAAGCTGTATTTTTGGGTAAGGTGCCGACTTTATTCTGTAGTTATTGCGGTTAGAGTAAGGCAAATCGAACCGGTGATTTAAATGTCATTTTAGCTCACCCCTGCGCCCTTGATAACATCCAAGCATTTCTCAAATGCTTTGGTCTTTGATTCTGGGTCTTTGGTAGTGACCAGAATCTCCACGGGAATCTTTCCTTCTTTTAGCGGCTCAAGGTGTTTCGCTTAAATTTGATTTAATTAGCTATGTGGCGCGCAGAAGTCCATGTGTTGATAATCACCTTTCTTGGCTGTGGTGACCACGTAAATCGCCTCAGTTGTGAGAACAAATAGTGTCGCAGGGAATTCATACCCGAGAAGCCAGAACTAATCACGAGTTCATAAGTAACGATGTTATGAAGCTCACGGGCCACTGTGGGACACGGATAGAAATTTTGGAGGTGATTCACATACATGCATCGCGTTGTTCTTCTGGAATGAGTTCTCCTCATCAGTCTTACCCATCAGAATGACTATGGACCCTGCATTGCCAAATAGGGCATTGCCCGAGCGCTTGTCGGCCTTCCATGACGCATAGAAACTAGACAGGCGGTTGAAAAAGTTGTTATTGTCAATGGCAATCTCCTCGGCCATGGTGATGGTCTGATGTGAGCAAGATATGCCACAGTCAGAGACTAAGTTGATGGCAAGAGAGCTTGGTGGAGAAGCGCAGGAGCTGTTGTAGGTATGTCCGAGTGCTGAATTTGTTGAGGATGAAGGAGAGGGAATTAAGGTAGCATCAATGCGACCACTGCGATGATGATAGACCAGACACCAATAGAACTAGGTTGTGGAAGAAAAGACAAAGACAGAAAGGGACGGCTTAGGGGAAAGTGAACGCGAAAAGCGCGTTCCTGCACTCTAGGTCTCTCTATATTACCGTATCAAAGTATTACCACTTTCATACTAGCGCTGTTTTCATGTCTCTCGAATCCGAACATGTTTTATGAATATCTCTTCTCACTGACTTTCTTTCTATCTTCAACTTTCAAGTTAACATGGCGTATGTGAGCCTTCACTTGGTCGTCTAATTAGATAACAAACACCCTGTGATGCTGCCCTCTTTTCCCGCCCACATCGCCTGCGCTTTGGAATTCACTATCGACATTGAGCCAGTCTCTCTTTGACAAGCACCCTTTTCTACGATGTACACTGGCTTTTTAGTTGTCTGTAAACAATGAACTCTCCGATAGCTCCCATCCTCCTCGAGCCTCACCTCGGCGAACTTCCTGGAAGTTCGCGAAGGATTTCTCGCAACGATGCAGCTACCGGAGCATCTGCCGCCGGCGTTCGCGCTCTCAGTGCACAGATGGTGGCCTTTTACTTCAGAGCACCGATCAAAGCTTTCTTTCGTATGCGTGTTGAGTATGTAGTATCTATGGACCTGAAGATCTTTGTATTGACAATATTTCACCTAGTTATATGGTAAGAAACACGACCAACCCATCACCAGCCTTGGTTGCTTATCATTTGAAATAGGCATTTGCGAGAGCTGTGAACCCACGTGTCGCCGAAGGCAAATGGTCTCTGCATACGACAACCCCGGGATTATTGCTCCACGCCGTTCGGACATATGGCTGGCGGTTTATCCCGAACCAAGTGCTTCCACCATTGATGGCAAATGCAGGGTGACATATACCAGAGGATATGGCCCCAGGTGATTCAAAAACGCTAACGATATAGATCAGGGTTGGTGCCGTTCTCTACACGTCCTATCTCCAAGTTTTGGGGGCCCTACATGAACCTGTGTCCCAAGGGGTGAAGCGAGTATGGCCCCCGGCTCCTCCATCTGCAACATTCGCAGCTGGATTCATAGCCGGCACAATTCAGTCGATTGTAGCCGCCCCTCTGGATGCCTTACAAGTTCGCTTTCAAACCAATGACATGCTGGAGGGTCAGTACCGGAGTATGTGGCATTATGGTCACCATAAGCTCAAACAGATTGGTCTCCGTGGGGTCTTTGCGGGCTGGAGCCTGTCGTTCATGCGGGATTCACTCGGCTATGCTGTGTTCTTCTCCACGTTCGAATACATCAAGTCACAGTCCTACTATTCATTCGTCACTTGGTACTATGGCTCCCTGCAAGTCGATCATGTGGGCATGCTTTCATCGTCCAGGTCTAGTGATCGTGGTGTGCCACTCATCAAGCCCCACTATGCATTGGAGCCATGTTTCCTGCTGATGGCCGGTGTTGTGGCATCGGTCGCTCAGCAAACCATTCAGCATCCTATAAGTAGGATTCAAGACCTTCACCTTGGTCGTCTGGAATATCTGGATCACCAGGCCAGCTTCATACCCTCGCGACAGAAGATGATACAATTCTACTACCATGCCTATCAAGAGACCTTCAAGAGGTGCGAGCGGAAGGTTGCGCGGGCCGGGGGCTGGCGCTCCTGGTTGTTCCGTGGATTTGTCGGGAGCTCTCTTCGCCAAGTACCTAGCACTAGTGCTGGCCTGATCATTTTTGAATTGGTGCGCCGACGGTACGCGAATCCCGCAGACGCTGTCCATATTCAGAGTGATGGATATGATATCCTTCTCACTTAATGGCTTATATGACAGGTTTTTTTCCCCCTCGCGTCTTTTCTGTTTGTTGTTTGAACTTTTTTATCCTTGGTCATTCCGAAGAGGGCGTTACAGACATAGAATATGATTTCATTAGACGTACATACATTTATGTACATACAAGCGATACCCTACTTCATAAATATCTTCCTGGTAATAAGTAGTTAGTTACTTAGTTAGTTAGTTACTTGGTTAACTAACTTAGTTATATGTATTAGTAACCTATTTGTCGATCTATCCCGGATTAGACGGGACGATACGATCTAGTACGTATTAGTACTAGTACGTACTCCGTATGCGTACAGATCATCTTCTACTACTCTGGACTAGTTATTAGGATGGCTTATTCTCTCTTCTCTCTTTCATACTTCTATTTGACGAAAATTACTATTCTAACCTAGCTCCTCGGAAAACACTTGATGAAAATCATCTGAATCCCTCTGTCCTATTCTATATTTGACGTTTTGGCCGTGTAATACTCTCACTTTTTTGCCCAAACGCACCCCCTCTCCCCAAATCTCCGCCTGACCGTCACCCCATTTCGACGGTACTTCGTCATCTTGCGTCGCGTGTGACTTTACGTAGCTAGTCGCCCGTGGCCACATCGCCTGAGTGGCGCCCTATCACGGACTAATATAGTGGCTTCCAAGGTTGTGCCCAGGTGGTACCGTTGCTGACTCCTTGCGGAGAACGTCTTATCGATATCATTAATTCCATCCGACTCCGCATTCTTTTCTCCGGGACAAAGGGCTGCGAGGTTCAGCCCGTCAATATCGCCATCATTTCTCCGACTTCTCCCTCACGCGCCTCTAACATACCCCTCCAGTCCATACCCTCTGATTCTCGCTCGATCCATTCGGCCAAATTATTGGAGTCTAACGAGAAGGGTAATCGACGGTCTTCCCATTCGTCTGCTCGCTCGGTCGGGTCTGACGTCTCCATCTGGTCAGATACCGGTGACCTCGCCGAGCAGTTCGCTGAGGCTGAAGATCCGCTACAGATTCACCTTCTCAATTCCTCAGACTGCCGGCTCTTGCGTCAAAAAGAGCGAAGGGAGCAGCCCAAACACGTCCGCTACCCTTCAAACTTGAACAACGAGCGTTCTGGCGTCGATATTGAAAAGATCAAAATACCAGCCCCTCCCCCGCGACATATTTCGAGAGTTGAACGCGTGCTGGCCGCCATAATGACACCCAGAGATGGACCAAACACCCAGATGCACGGCTTAGTCGGAAAACCATTACTGTGAGTGTCTTAAAAGGCCAATACCGTAATTTTTACCACTGACTCTGGTTTGCATGTAGTTACTTCACGAGTGTGTTTGTATCACTGGGTGTCTTTCTCTTTGGCTATGACCAGGGTGTAATGTCTGGGATCATAACGTTCGTGTCTAATCCCTCGAGCATAGACTCGCCATAGAGATAACGAGGAGCGGAATGTGGCTAACAGATACAGTGGCTGGTACTTCAAAGATTACTTCAACCAGCCTTCTCGGGCTACAATTGGCACTGTGGTTGCAGTTCTCGAAATTGGTGCATTCATATCCTCGCTCCTTGTGGGTCGTATCGGTGATGTGATCGGCCGTCGAAGGACTATACTCTATGGCTCCATTGTGTTCTTTGTTGGCGGTGCTTTTCAAACATTTTCCACGGGTATACCCATGATGATGGTCGGTCGTGTGATTGCCGGTCTAGGCGTTGGTGCCCTCTCTACTATCGTGCCAGTTTACCAGTCTGAAATATCGGTTTGTACTCCCATTTCTCTATCAATCCTCAAGGCTTTTTCTTTGTCTCCCTCCCCATTCTATCGCCAGGTACGCTGACGAATTTTAAGCCTCCCCACAACCGTGGGAAGCTTGCATGCATCGAATTCACCGGCAATATTGCTGGGTATGCGACTAGTGTGTGGGTAGACTATTTCTGTAGCTTCATCGATAACGACTACTCCTGGCGCCTGCCGCTTCTTTTCCAGTGTATCATGGGTGCCTTACTTGGAGTTGGCAGTCTGATGATCTGTGAATCACCTAGGTGAGTAGAAATCCCATCCATTGTCTGCTAAGGCTAACTCCCAATCCTTTCCTTAGGTGGCTTCTTGATAATGACCACGACGAGGAGGGTATGGTGGTGATCGCAAATCTTTATGGCGAAGGCGATCTCCTCAATGACAAGGCCCGTCAAGAATATCGTGAGATCAAGATGAATGTCCTTGTCCAGCGACAAGAGGGTGAGCGATCCTACTCGGACATGTTCCGCCGGTATCGCAAACGTGTTTTGATTGCTATGTCGGCCCAAGCTTTAGCTCAACTCAACGGGATCAACGTAATCTCATACTATGCGCCTCTAGTGTTTGAATCGGTATGGACCTAGAGTCTCCCTCCATGGTGCTATGCCGGATACAAATAATATTCAAAAGGGTTCAGGATTATGCTGACCAATCTACCATATAGGCCGGTTGGGCTGGACGGGATGCCATCCTGATGACTGGAATCAATGGTATTTCATACTTGCTGTCTACCATACCACCCTGGTATCTCGTGGATGGCTGGGGCCGGCGACCGATTTTACTCACGGGTGCCGTTGCCATGCTCATTTCGCTTTCTCTTATCTCCTACTTTATTTACATCGAGATTCCCGCCACCCCAACCCTGACGGTGATCTTCGTTATGCTCTATAATGCAGCTTTCGGGGCATCCTGGGGCCCCATTCCATGGTTATATCCCCCAGAGATTTTGCCTTTGAGTATTCGTGCCAAAGGTGCAAGTTTGAGCACCGCTTCAAATTGGGCATTCAATTGGCTCGTGGGCGAGGTAACACCTGTTCTTCAAGAAGTTATCAAGTGGCGGCTATACTTGGTCCATGCATTCTTTTGTGCATGCAGTTTTGTGCTTGGTAGGGTCCCTCATCCGTGGTCATCTACTAGGGACCATCATACTGACTATCACCACAGTCTATTTTTTGTACCCCGAAACGAGTGGGGTTCGCCTCGAAGATATGAACGTTCTTTTTGGCGATGCTTCCACTGCCATGCCAACACCCGCCACCCAAGGCGAACGGGGGTCGCTAATGGGTGCTGGTTCACCCGTCCCATCGCTCGACCTGCGTCGGCAGTATGGTCAATTTGGGGCAGATAATTCCATCCCTGGCCTAGATATTGATCCGCCGACTTCAAGCCACGAGGGAACTAGCAAACGCGGACGCTCAAATTCTCACCAGGGCAGTGTCCGCGGCGAAGGAATTGGTGGCTGGATCTCAAACATGGTCAGTCGAAACCGAGGAGCGGGCGCCGGTGCTACCAGCAGTCAATATAGACGTTTGGAGCAAGGAGAAGGCGAATGAAATATTTACGGGTAATTGTGGCCTTGGACTGGATAGAGGAAGCAAGAAAAGACCAAAGAATCCGATGTTATATATCTCCTTTCCCCATCTACCAATGCCTTCTGTTGATCTCGAGTTCACGTTCACGGTATATACCTATCATACGAGGCTTTGCATTGATGTTGTTCTGGAATTTTCTTGTTACATATGTGTCTGTGCCAATGATTTTTATATATATATAAATAAAATATCTAGTTATAATACATGTACTATAAATGATTGGTATATTTATAGCACGGAGCTAGAATTACAAGGGCCAATGTTCTGAAAACGGCCCGCTAAAAGTGGACTTGTTTATCCTCCCTGAGGCCACGGATCTCACTTTCTCCTTGATTCCCTCAGCCCACTCTCTTGTCTCACTTCACTTCACTTCACTTCATTTCATTTCATTTCATTTCATTTCGTTTTCTTTTTCTTTTTCTTTTTCAATCTACTTCTGGCATTGCTTCCGGTTTATCCGCTAGATTTGCCCCCATTCTATCACTCACTTACCCAGGGGAATGGCTATGTTCTCTTAAATCTATCTGTCCTTCTATTACCGGTCTACCTCGGTATTCCCCAGTTTAATTTCTTACTATTCTCGCATTTTGTTGGTACATTTTCTTTCGAAAATTCTACAAGACACACACACACACACTATGGTGGGCCTAGACACTGCCGTGAGCACGGGTGCCAACCATGAGTCCGACCTCCGTCGAAGAAATGTCCCTGATATTAGCAAAGTTCATCTGGACTCCAATCGGACGAATGACGAAGATGTGAAGAAAGCTAGAACACAGGTGAGGTAGCCTTCTTGAACATCATCATCCACGCCCTTCTAACCTCCCCTGAACAGTCACCCTCGTTCCTCCATGTGCTAGCTAACTGGGAGCCGATCATTGCTCCCATCCTCTTGACTGCCCTCGCACTCTTCACCCGCCTGTACCAGATCGGCCGTTCCAACATTGTTACCTGGGACGAGGCCCACTTCGGTAAATTCGGTTCCCACTATCTCAAACGCGAATTCTACTTCGATGTCCACCCGCCTTTGGGGAAGATGCTAGTTGGCCTATCCGGATATCTTGCTGGCTATAATGGGTCTTTTGAATTCAAGTCTGGCGAGAAGTATCCAGAAGATGTGAATTATACCTTTATGCGAGCCTTCAATGCTGCCTTTGGTATAATCTGCATTCCCCTGGCCTACTACACTGCGCGAGAGTTGAACTTCCGTCGGCCCACAGTCTGGCTGATCAGCCTGATGGTGCTGTGTGAGAATTCCTATGCAACAATTTCTCGGTTTATACTTCTCGACTCGATGCTGCTCTGCTTCACATTTACTACGACGATGTGCTGGGCAAGATTTCACCGGTTGCAGCGTGATAGCTTTTCGCTAGAATGGTATGCCTGGCTCTGTTTAACCGGTTTGAGCATTGGGTGTGTCTGTAGTGTCAAATGGGTCGGTTTCTTTTGCACTGCTCTTGTCGGTCTCTATACTATTGATGACCTGTGGAATAAATTTGGCGACCTAAAGATGCCACGGGTGAGTACCTGCTATCAGCCCCCCTTGCCTAGAAGGTGATCACCGATTAGCTGGCTAATGCGGACGTGTTTGGACAGGCTGTACTCGCAAAGCACTTGGTTGCTCGTGTTGTCGGATTGATTGTTATTCCGATCTTGGTCTACATGTTTTCTTTTTATCTGCACTTCTTAGTGCTGGCGAACAGTGGTCCAGGTGATGCCCAGATGAGCTCGCTTTTTCAAGCCAACCTACAAGGCACTGAAGTTGGTAGAGATAGCCCTCTTGAACTCGCAATTGGGTCGCGTGTCACACTTAAAAATATGGGATACGGAGGAGGGCTTCTGCACTCTCACGTTCAAACTTACCCGGAGGGATCTATGCAGCAGCAGGTCACCTGCTACCACCACAAAGATGCCAATAATGACTGGTTCATCTACCCCAATCGACAGGAGCCGGACTACGATGCCACTGCTGATCTGCGGTTCGTTGGTGATGGCGATGTCATTCGGTTGATTCACGGACAGACAGGTCGTAACCTGCATTCCCATGCTATCCCAGCACCAATCACCAAATCACACCACGAAGTGTCATCTTACGGAAATATCACCATCGGAGACGACAAAGACCACTGGAAAGTGGAGGTAGTCGATGATGTTGCATCTTGGGACCGATCTAGGATCCGGACACTCACAACAGCATTCCGACTCCGCCACCCTGTCCTGGGCTGCTATCTACGGGCAGGAAATGTCAATCTACCTCAATGGGGCTTCAAGCAGATTGAAACAACGTGTACCAAGGAAAACAAACCCGGCGATGTGTATACTCACTGGAATGTTGAGTCTCACACCAACGACCGTTGTAAGCTTATCCTTTTGCCAAACACTTGATATTGATGAGCCCAATCAGACTTATTGACCTATCCACAGTGCCCCCTGGTGACCCTGGCTCCTATAAATCGCCCTTCTTGAAGGACTTCATCCACCTGAATGTGGCCATGATGACCTCTAACAATGCTCTGGTTCCCGATCCTGACAAGCAAGATGACTTGGCTTCCAAGTTTTGGCAGTGGCCGATTCTCAATGTCGGCTTGCGCATGTGTTCTTGGGATGATAGCGTTGTCAAATACTATCTGCTAGGAAACCCCCTAGTCTATTGGGGAAGCACTGCCGCTCTTGGTGGATTTGGTCTTCTTTTCATTTGGTACCTTCTGCGCTGGCAGAGGGGGTACAATGATCTCAGCAACGAGGAAATTAGTCACATCCACTACTCTGGCATATACCCAGTTATCGGATGGGTCTTGCACTATCTTCCCTTTATCATCATGGCCCGCGTCACTTATGTCCATCATTACTATCCGGCTCTCTACTATGCCATCCTGAACTTCGGCTTCTGCGTTGATTGGGTAACACGCAAGATGAACCCCAGATTGTCTGCAGCGGTGTATGCTTTCCTCTACGTGGTTATTGTCGGATTGTTCATTCATTTCCGAGCCATCGTGTTTGGAATGGAGGGTTCTAACCAGCAATGGAGTCATCTCCGCTGGCTACCCGGATGGAAAATGGCGAATGTGAACTAATCATGGATCGTTTGATGACTTGTTCTCGTCCTCTCTGCTTGTTAGCTTGTGTTGACTACCCCAAAGTGGACCTTATATGCCTACAGGTAATTGTATCAACCCGGACAATTCAACTTTACTTCTGTATTTGTAAAGAAAAATGCAATGTTATCAGAGATACTAGAGTCTTCATTTCGATCGTTATAGCCACGCTTAGTGTCTGGTAACAACTTAGTTCAATAGTGATGAAGATGTGTCCGGGCCAGATGTTGCTGACTATTTATTATTACGGGCTGTGGATTTAGCAACATCCCCCGGTCCAACTGTTGCCACCTTTGCGCATAGCATCATCCATTCCCAATGTGACGGTTCTAGGGATGCCCGTGTTTGCTCCTCCCGAGGCTCCGAACCCTTTCACACCGCTTCGCCGATCATTGAGGTCGTATTTTCCCGTTTCAATGTTACGATAGATCCTCTCAGCAACTTCCAGGAACGCTCGTTCAACGCCATCCCCAGATTTGGCGCTCGTTTCAACATAGCGAACCACATTGTTCAAGCGGCACCATTCTTCGGCCTCCTCCTGGGTGACCTGCCTTTGATTTGATCCAGAACTGGCCCCCGTCAGATCAGTCTTATTACCGACCAAAATAACAACGATGCCATCTTCTGCAATATGCCGTAGATCCTGCAGCCACTGAGTGCAAGATATAAAGGTCGAGTGTCTGGATATATCAAAGACTAGGAGAGCGCCAGAGGCACCCCTGAAGTAAGAGCGGGTGATAGACTTGTATGTCTCTTGTCCAGCAGTATCCCACAGTGATAGTTTCATGCGCTTTTGATTGGGGGAACCTTGTGGTTTTCGTGGAGGGGTAGGAAGACCAGAGGTGGTAGACGCTTCTGGAAATGTATCACCCGACGATCCGGTAGAGGGCTCATCAAGTTCTAGCTCCAGTGAAGCTGGAGGACCAACTGGCACAATTCGCGACCCGAACTCGACACCAATGGTCACATCATGAGATGGGGAAAAACGGCCTTCACAAAGTCGGACGGTGAGCTATTGTTCAGTTAGCGTAGGTCCAAGGTCCAAGGCTGATAGCACTTACGCTGGACTTGCCAGTGCCAGAGTCACCAATGCAGACAAGCTTAGCAATATAATCCCATGGCTGTGACATGGAGAGAGTAGAAAAAAATCCAGAATCAGAAATGGGGAAAGAAAGCGAAGGTCAGTTTACCTACGACGTATGTCGATTTGGAGACCTCATGGTTATCAGCTGAGTCATCTATCAAGCCTGACGTGCCCGAATGACGCTTTCATCAGCTGCGTGACCCTAGCCCTTCACCTTATCCCAGGCACCACACACATCCTCTCTCCTAGATTTGGCATATCTCAAACAAATTCAAAGTCTTTCCTCTTACCCTCTCTTCCCTTTACTCTCTAATATCCGACCGTACTTGATTTCCTCGACATATTTCCTTTAGTGATCTATCACTGGTCCTGTCCCACTCACCGTACTTTCTTCGTTACGATAACAGGCCATGTTCTCTGAATGTAAGAACTGGAAGATCCTGAGTATTAGAAGACTATATGGCTAACACTTCGCTTTAGATGCCTCCCGATTCCTTGCTCAGTCACAGTCACGAGTAACCTCTCGACCAGATGAGGTTCAAAGAACGGGCCGTAGCCGCCCTGGTCAACATCAAGGCAACCCTCGACACCCCTCATCGCGCTCCTTCTTACGACCTACCGATCCTTATCGACCGGGTGCATCCCAGACAGCTCAATTTCCTTTTGCCCCTCGCAGCTCGGTTCAACAAGCTCCCCTCTTCTTCAGTGCCACTGATGAGTTCCGAGAGGAAGATGACGAAACAGAACGTGAGCGAGAAATAGCTGATTTCTATGCACTCCAA